GACTGGCAGGACTCGGAGCTGGACGGCAGGGTTATCTCTGTTCGGAGTTAGACGGGGAGTGTGTTTCTGTCTTTAATGGATCTTTAATATCTAGGATTCCCCTGAGCACTTGCTTTATTTTTGGTTGACCTCTCCTTTTTCTACCCAGAAAACCTTTATTCCGTGGGTCAGGGAGCCAATGTAGAATTTGCTGCTTGCTAAAAATACTTATTTCAGCTGTATGATCAGTCACTGATACCTATTCCAAGATGTGTTTGGGATTCCACTGAGCTTATCTTAAAATGGACTCAAGAGAAAATTTCATTTATCTTCCAACAGAAGGGCCTGGTGGAGTAGAGCCCGGTCCGTCCTCACAAGAGATCCAGGGTGCACCCAGAGAAGGGAATGAGGAGGACCATGTGCACGGCCACGAGCAGTCTGCAGGGTGTACTTTTGTGGTTGGCAGAGTCATGGTTAAGGTGTAAAGATGTTCCCACCCTAATCTCCGGGACATGCGAACAGGGGACGAGGAGAAAGGGACGGTGCAGATGTGATTGAGAGTGTCCCAGTGACATCACATGAGTCCTTAACGGTGGACAGCCTTTCCCAGGTGTGGTCAGAGGGGGAGAGGTGATGACTGGTCAGAGATGTGACCTTGCCAGCTTTGAGGCCGAGGAAGGTGGGCCCCCGAGCGGGGAGCAAGGGTGATGTCTAGAAGCCGTGCGCGCTGCGCTTGGCTCTTTCCCTTGCGCTGTGCGTCTCGGAGAGGAGGGGTCTCGGCTGTTCTGGCTGCTGTGGGCAGTTTGTTAGACAGCTTCCTTCCTGGCCTGTCAGCCTATAGGTGGCTTCAGCTTTTTATGAAGACCCCGCGGTCCTCTTTGTGGAGTGAATCCGTATCTTTCTGTCGGGATGTCAGAAGCTTTCATAGTGGAATAGCTCGGTCTGAAGGTACATCTGTTTAAAACCTTGATGGATCTGGCACATGGCCCCCTCCCCCAGGGCAGGGGGGGGCAGGGGATGGATGGCGGGGCTCCCAGTCCCACCCATTCGAGGCGAGAAAAGGGGGGGCGCTTTGATCCAATCTGTCTGGTGAACCTGGTTAGAAAGCTTTGGGATTTAGGTGCCGAGGGAGAGAACTGGCCCCGGAGGGTTGCGGGGGAGGCCCTGAGCCATGGGGAGAGTCTCTGTCTTGAGCTCACTCGTGCTGTGGGAACATGTAAGCAGCTGGCTCGGCTGGCTCAGGTGGGGGCTTTCCTGGGACCCCTTCAGGGGTGCTCCCAGCAGCGTGGAGGGGAGGGGGCATTGAGAGGAAGCCTGCCTCTCCTTCCCCGGAGTCTGGGGTTTGCTCCAGTGCAGTTGGGGCGTGTGGAACCAGCCAGGCAGCCCTTGAACTACAGGGGAGGGAGGGCAGGACAGTCCGCCCAGACATAGCGGTGGGCTGTGTGGGCGCGGTGGGGAGGCCCATAAGGGCCTGGAGACCCTGCAGGGAGGAGGGTGTTTGTGTCTCATGTGAGCTCGTCCATCAGGATGTGTTTTGAGCAAAATAAATGAGAACTTCCCAGTGGTTTCCCAGAAACACCAGAAAAACAGTAAGAGCAAAACTGAAAGTAAAACCCTTTCCTTCCTGAATGGAATGGGACCTTTGGGGATTCCCTGAGACGGTTTCTCTCCAGCCTGGCAGACCCACCTTCTGTCCCCAAGAGGCTCCCAAGCCTGGAGTTTATCAGTTTACAGGAGCAAGGCATCTGGTGATGGGGACGGGGGCTCCTCTGTTGGCCCCAAGCCCAGCTGAGGGTGTGGTTTCATGCTTGGTTCCCAACCCCCGCTCCGCTGGTCACCCCCTTGTCCCCACAGCCTCACCAAGGCCACCAGGTCTTGTATGTCACCTGGACGTGGGACTCGTGAGGCTCTGCAGCCTATGAGGTTGCTTGTTTGTGCCGCAGATGCAGGGGGACCCCAGAATCGAGGTGTGCCTCACGCCCAAGCTTCCAGACCCAGGCAGGACACCAAGGTCCTGCCACCCTAGCCCATTAGAGACAGTCCTGTTCCAATGCTCATCTTGGACTCTTCGAGAACTGTGCGCGGGATGCCAGTATTCACAAGCCATGCTACTGGACATGCTCACTACGGCCCCTTTCATCTGAACGGGTCTGAGGGCTCACACCCGGGAGTGTGACCTGGGGAGACACATCCGTATGGACTTCCCTTCAGGCTGTTTGGGAGCATCTTTCTGGTTCTGGATTCTGGATACATTCATAGCCCAAAGGTCTTTGGATCATAGCCCCAAAGTCCCTGGGAACATCCCCCCGCCCAGCACTTCTAGGAGGAGCCGCTCTTCAGGCTGTATCCCGGGTCCAGCACCTTCGAGCTCCCGACCCCAGGGCATCTCCTTGGCCCGCGGCATCTGTCAGTTAGGGCCTGCTTCATACGGTTGTCAAGAAGTGAAGGAGATCACCCATGGAAAACACCCAGCTCGGCACAGAAGCCCTATTTCACACCACACACGTTGGGGGTTTGTAGTATGCGTGTATGGTGGTGCCCAAATCCCGAGAACTCGGTGTGTTCTCTGAGCTGTGTCCCGTAGTAAAGTGCGCGTCACTGTCTCTGTGAGCAGGAGGTAATGAATGCAGGGAATGCAAATAAGCCAGAGTGGCCCTTGGGAACCTGGGCACTGTTCTAAAAATAGAGGACTGTTCTAGAATGCCGAATGGAGTCCCTCATGACAAGGCCTGCGGGATTGTGCTGTGGAGCCTGGTTCGAAGAAAGATGGGATCCCGCTGCCTTGGTGGGGGAGTGGATTTGGAGGGAGGTGTGTTGTAGGGGAGGAAAAATTCTTCTCCACCCTCATGGCTTCCAGCTGGACGGATAATTAAAGAGACATGAGACAGATCGACAGGAGAAAAAAACCCAAAGTTTTGTTCTGTGTGCACAGAGGCCTGATAAAACTGAGACCTAAATAAGTGACCAAGACAGGGGGTTTTCATACATTTTGGACAAAGAAGCACTCAATTTGTGAGGAATTGTCAGTATAAAGAAAAGAGGTGTTTGGGAGCTTTGTCTCGTAAGGAATTCTAAGCAGAATTTGGACCGAAGTAGGAAATTAGCAAAAAGTAACATGGCTGTTTATACGGCCTTCTTGGCTCTGAATTTCCGATCTCTGGTGATGGGGATGTCTTTTTACTTACTGACAGGCTGCCTTTCATGTGGGAGACTTACTGCCACTTTCAGGGGACAGACGGCGGTCTGAGGGACCTTCCCAAGTAGCTTCCATTTAAAATAATCAACATGCCATTTTGGTGGCCCGCCCTTGGCCACTAGAGTGTGGAGACATCCAGTGCTTCTGGAAGTCATGCTGTGAAGCCGGGAGAGAGAGGAGGCTGCAGCTAAGGGGGTGTGTGGCCAACAGAATTGCACCCCCCAAGCTGCCAACCACCGGCCTGGGCAGTGAGTGCTTCCAAGGAGAGAGAAGCTTTCAAGAACCACAGCGGTGGGGGCGCCTGGGTGGCTCAGTTGGTTGGGTGACTGCCTTCGGCTCAGGTCATGATCCTGGAGTCCCGGGATCGAGACCCGCATCGGGCTCCCAGCTCGGCGGGGAGTCTGCTTCTCCCTCTGATCCTCCCCCATCTTATGCTCTCTCTCTCAAATAAATAAATAAAATCTTAAAAAAAAAAAAAAAAGAACCACAGCGGTGATCATGCCTTTGTCAGTGAAAACCAAACCACAGCCAGAGACTGAAAGCAGGGACTTGAACAGACATTTGCACGCCTGTGTTCAGAGCAGGAGCCAAAAGGTGGAAGCAGCCCATCGACACATGAGTGCTTAAACAGAGGAGAGGTCTGTGCACACGGGGGGCGTATTACTCAGCCTTAAAAAGGAAGGAAACTCCGCTACAACACGGTTGAAGCTCGAGGACAGTCACACAAGGACAAATACCACATGATTCCACTGCTGTGAGGTCCCTAGAAGGGTCAGAGTCACAGAGACAGAAAGTAGGGTGGCGGGCACTAGGGACTGGGGCAGGGAGGATTGGGGTTCCTGTTTAATCGGAACAGTTTTTGTTTGCAATGACCAAAAAGTTCTGGAGACGGATGGTGGTGACGATTGCACAAGTTAGTTAATGGGTATTACTCCACACCACTGAACGGCACACTTACCGATGATTAGAATGGTAACTTTTGTGTTGTGCATGTTTTACCATAATAAAAAGAAGAGTTCTCAGTTCAGCAGCACTTATACTAAAAGTGGAATGATACAGAGAAGATTAGCACGGCCCCTGCATGACGATGACACACAAATTTGAGAAGGGTTCCACACTTTTTAAAAAAAGATTTATTTATTTATTTGAGGGAGAGCGCACAAGCAGAGGCAGGGGCAGGCAGAGGGAGAGGGAGAAGCAGGCTTTCTGCCGAGTGGGGAGCCCACTGTGGGGCTCGATCCCAGGACCCCGGGATCATGACCTGAACTGAAGGCAGACGCTTAACGACTGAGCCACCCAGGTGTCCCAACACCCATATTTTTAGATGCAGGGGAAATTTCTCTGGCTGTCACCAGCTTCCTCCCATTTATTTCTATTGTTCAGCGGACACAGATAAAACCCCATGACGTGCAGACCTCGAGAGGGTGTCTGTGGGGCCAGGCTGCTGTCCGGCACAAAGGCAGAGAGATGGACCGGGTGAAAAGAAAGGGCCGCTGGGGCAAGAAGAAACCCAGGCTGGAAGGAAAAGAAGCAGGCAGCGAGCACCAACAAATCCTGCCCAGTGAGGCTCAGGGGCACCCGAGGCAACAGCCCAAAGGCCATCCTCCGAAGCCAAGAAGGAAGATTGCAAAGTTTCTGGGAGTATTTCACAGAAATAAAGAACCCCAAAACGTTGTTCATCTGACAAAAACTTCCAAAGGTATGGGTCTTGCCTTATAAATTTCTTTTAAATATTTGTTTATTTATTTATTTGCTTGAGAGAGAGTGAGCAAGAGAGAGCATGAGCAGGGGGAGCAGCAGGCAGAGGGAGAAGCAGGCTCCCCGCTGATCAGGGAGCCCAACGCGGGGCTCAATCCCAGGACCCTGGGATCATGACTTGAGCGGAAGGTAGATGCTTAGCCAACTGAGCCACCCAGGCGTCCCCTGGGTCTCACGTTTATATCCGGCAGGAGCCTTTGTCCTGTTCCTTCATTTTTTTTGCTCGCGTATTTATCCTTTTGTTTAATATGTACTGCATACGCCAGCCTCCTGGATGTCGCTCTGGGCGCCTGGAGGGGACCAGGCACGGTGGGAAGATGCCTCCTTCCCATGCCTGGGGGACCCCACGTGAGCGGGGCTGGCTCGCTGACCACCACGGCCACCACGCAGCGGGCTGTCACGGGGCTGGGGGTGCTGCTGAGCCCACGGGGGCCCTGACGCAGTGCGGGGGAGCAAGAGAGGGACCAAAGCAGAGCGAAGCAGCCCACAGTCATCACGCCTGTGAGACACACCTCGCCGTTTCAAAGCCGACGAAACCACGGCCCGGGGGTGGAGCCCTTTGCCCAGGGACCCGCAGCAGGTGAGGAGGTCACGGTTCAAGTCCCGGCCGGCAGAGCTGGCTGCTACTTGTGCCCCAGGCCCTAGGGCAGTAGGAGGGAGAGAAGAGGGGCCTGGGTTGGAGGTGCGGCTGTGTGTGCAGTGTCTTATTTGTGTCGCCATGAGCCAGCACGGGTCTGCGCCCAGAAAAGCTCGATAAATGGCCTTGCGTGGAACAGCAGGGCTGGGGCTGGGCTGCTTAAGGCTCTGGTCCGCAGTGGGTTTGTGGGCGGAGCTGGTACGTTTATAACCTAGGGCGTGTTTTCCTGAAGAGAAAACGCTTCAGATTTTCCCTGAGGTCGGTGGGAAGTTGCAGAATTGCAATAGGAGTGTGGGGTCATGGGGGTGGGGATGAGGTGTCACCAGCTGCCTTTTTATCTCTGGCATCTGGCATTGTCACCCAAGAGGGGACAAGTGCTTATCAGTTGATTCACAGGTGATGGGATCTTTGAGGGTCTCCTGCATCCTCACTAGCCCTGTGCCTGGTGACACCGGACCAGCCTTGCCAGGATGGTCACTTTTCAGGTGCATTTCACTTTTTTCCTCAGGCCACACGTGTTGCTGGCCTGTGATGCCAAGAGATGGTCAGGCGGTCGGGAGCGGCCACGCTCTGCATAGCTCGATGGGCCTGCATGGGGCGGGGGGGACGCAACAGTGGACCCCCCATGTCTGCCTTTGCCTGCCTAACCCAGCCCCCAGTATCTTTGCTAAAGAAATGGTGCCAACGCAGCCATGTTTGTAGGAAGCCCGGGAGACCTCAGGACTTTGTAAGGGCAGCTCTTCTGTTTGTGGGTAGGGGGATGACAGCCCCCTACCCAGAAAACAGCCAGGTTGGTGCAGGATAAACAGGAGCTCCTTGTTGGAGGGAGAGGGGCAAGCGTGCTCTGGAGTAGTCAGTGCTGCCCAGGGAAATAGAGTGGGAGCCGTTTTCAGGAATCGCAGTTAAACTATAAAAAGAAATAGGTGAAATTAATTTTAGTAAAATATTTTATTTAGCCCAATGTAGCTGATGTAGTATTTCCACATGTTTCAACATGCCATCAATATTAGAATTAAGATATTTCACATTCTTTTTTTTCCCCCCGCTAAGTCTTTGAAATCTGGTGTGTGGTCTACACTGGACAGCACAGCTCAGTTTTGACATTTCAAGGGCTCAGTAGCCACGTGTGGCCTGAGGCTGCCCTGCTGGACGGTGCAGCTCTGGAAGGAAGGGGGCAGCCCTGCGTCTGGTAAAATGTCCGAGCAGCCCTGCGTCTGGTAAAACCATGGAGGTTCCAGCACGTACAGTTCCTAGTTTTAAGTGTGATCTAATTAATTACTATCAACAAGGAGCTATCTATGAGAAGTGGATAGGGACTCTTCACCCTCAAAATAGTTACATGCCATGGAAGGCTGTCCTATTTTGGTTCAAAATAATTTCCATCCCACACTCCACTCCTCAATTCTTTGTATTATTATAAGTTCAGCTGCTTTCACTGAGAGACCCAACGAACTAGTGGCTTAAGATAAAGCAAGATAAAATTTGCTTCTCTCATGGAAGATTTGAGTAGGTGGTTCAGGACACCTCAGTGCTCAGAGACCCAGACCTTTCCATTGTGCTCCTCCACTATCCTCCATATGGTGTTCCTGTCTCATGGCCCAGGATGGCTGCCCAGGTCCTGGCATCACATGTGATATTCCAGCTGTCGGAAAGGAGGAATAGGAAAGGGGAGGACATGCATTTGCCCTTGACAACAGAAGGGCACTCTGAGCCCCAACTTGAAATATAACTGCCCTCTCATTTTGAAATTTCCAGGAGAAGTTAAAGTTCAAAATGCCCTTTCAAGTTGAAGTCCAGAAGAACTGGTGTCCAAGTGCTCAAGTGCTTTGGACAACCCTGACCACCAATTCCTCTTTTGGTTTAGAGTCTCGCTGGCGCCTGCCTCCTGCAGCTACAGGCTGGAGAGTCTTGCTGAGGCTCCTCTGGGTTGCAAAGCAGAATCCTTCCCTTTCCATCTCTCCCTCCGGGCACAGCAGGAGGTCCAGCACCATTAGCACCTCCTGGGAACAGGTCAGAAATGCACATTCCAGGGGCGCCTGGGCGGCTCAGTTGTTAAGTGTCTGCCTTCCGCTCAGGTCATGATCACAGGGGTCCTGGGATCAAGCCCCGCGTCGGGCTCCCTGCTCCGCGGGAGGCCTGCTTCTCCCTCTCCCACTCCCCCTGCTTGTGTTCCCTCTCTCGTTGTGTCTGTCAAATAAATAAATAAATCTTAAAAATAAATAAACAGGGGCGCCTGGGTGGCTCAGTCGTTCAGCGTCTGCCTTCCGCTCAGGTCATGATCACAGGGTCCTGGGATCGAGCCCCGCGTTGGGCTCCCTGCTCCGCGGGAGGCCTGCTTCTCCCTCTCCCACTCCCCCTGCTTGTGTTCCCTCTCTCGCTGTGTCTCTCTCTGTCAAATAAATAAATAAAATCTTAAAAAACAAAAAAAAAAACTAAAAAAAGAAATGCACATTCCAATCTGGGCTGGAATGAGCCCTCCAGGTGGTCCTGACATGCATTCCTTCTGAGAACCCCTTGCTAGAAATTTTCTACTAACTCTGCTGGGCTTCCCTCTCTGTGCCTCTGGTGGGGAAAGTGCCTTGCTGTCTCCATGTTGGGTTAACAAACCTACAGCTGATGAAGGCATGGACCATGCATAGCCCTGGGAGCTTACAGCTGGGTGTTACGTTTTTCTATTCCAAAGGTGACACAGTGGAAAGCCTACTGGTCTTTTGCAAACATCATAACAAACCTGTGGCCTTCTGATCCTGACTGGCCACAAGGAACTTTGTTCCCGAAAGCTCTTGAACCCTCCACCTGGTTTTCTTGCTGGTTCCTCTTTTGGATGAGTTCCGTACAGCTCAGCCCATCTCCAGCCTACTCCTGTCAGAAATTACAGTGAAGGGTCCAGGGCAGGCACCCCTCCCCCTCCCTGGATCTCCGGGTCTTTCAAGCCCCCTGCTGAGCCATCCTTTCGGGTTCCTTTCTTCCAGGCTTCTTCGAGTTGGTCCAGGAGGGGCGGTTCCTGGAGGCCTACCAGAGCATCTCGACGTTGGCGGAGGAAGGGCAGGACTGTGGCCCCCAGTACCAGGCTGTGGCCCAGAGCATGTGGCAGGTCGTCCAGCAGGCTCTGGAGGGCACTGGGCCCAGCCAGGAGCTGGAGCTGAAGCTGAAGCTCCAGGCAGTGCTGACCACTGTGGGGTGGACACAGGACAAGCATCAGAGCCGAGAGGCTGGTGCTCTCCAGGACGGTGGAGTTGCCCCGTGGGCTGGTCAGCTGGAGAAGCTGCTGAGAAATGATGCTGAGGCCCGAGTGCCCACCCTGGGCCCCAAGGACCAGCTGGACCCATACCTGGAGAAGCTAGACAAGGCTGTGAGACAGGGCCTGGGGTCCCCGCGGGCTAGCCGGTTGGGGACCTGCCTCTGGGGGGTCTACAGGATGTACTTCCAGGAGGTGCTCCTCAGCCGCCTCTCCGAGCTCACGCGCTCCTGCGGCACCAACTTGAAAAGCTGTCAGGTCCTGTACACCTGGGGCAAGACGAACTTGTTTGGGCATCCGGGGTGAGTCCTCCTGGGGACCTTGGGGTGCTGGGTGAGGCCACTGCTCTGGGGGAGGGTCCTCAGGCCAGGGCTGTGATCAACAGAGACTTTGAGGGGCCACCTGGGCGGGACTGGTGGTCGGAGAAGGGTGGACACAGCTGGCCTTGGGGACAGCGCGTGCACACGCGTGTGTTAGTGTGTGTCAGTGTGTCTGTCGTTAGTATGTGTATGGGTGTGTTAGCGCATTAGGGGGTGTGTGTGTATGTGACCACTGAGACTTGTCTACACCAGCAGAGCCTCTTGTTCCCATTTCTCACCCCGGCTGCCCTCTCCAGTCACTGGGCCTTGTCCAGGGGTGGGGGGCGGGCAGCACAGGCTGGGGAGGGGGCGAGGCCCAGCCTCGGGTCCACTGCCCTTAGCGCCGAGCTGGCCTCCACACCCCAGCCCCAGCTCAGCTCTTTGCCCCTCATGGCTCCTTCCAACCCAATAGGGAGACACTTGCAAAAGCACCTCCGACTTCTCAGGAGCCCACGGTCAGGCACCTCTTGGACCCCGTAATGTTTGTGACCTGGATGTCCCAAATGCAGAAGAAGCTGGTGGGGCTGATCCAGGTAAATGGATCCAGGAGTATCTGTCACCCAGAGGCCTCCTCGTCCAGCATCTGGGGCACAGCAGGCAAGGGGCTGGGCCAGGGTGGGCCCTGGGTGGTGGGGCTGGGGGGTGCTGGTGCGTTGATTCTGGCCCTTGCGCACTGTCACATGGGAAGCAACAGTGGCCGTGGCTCTGTGGCTAGGCATGGGAAAGTACTGAGTGCTGAGTCGGTGGAGAAAATTGGCTTCTAGGCTGTCCCTTTCCCCAAACAAGGAGGCCTCGGCCTGCCCAGGGCCCCCAGTAAGCAGGCCTCTGGATGGAGGTGCCTGGGCTAGGAGGGAGACCTGCGTGGGAGCAGGAGACAGCCAGCCTGAGGCCCCCCCAGACCGCATGGCGCTGGCTGTGCCGCAAGCCCGGGCAAGGAGGGCAGCCTCCCCTGGGAACCTGCCAGAGACAGCCTTTGTCATTGCCTGTGGTCGGGCCTGAGAGGTCACACTTAGGTTTTTGGCCAGGGGCTGGTCCCCAGTACCCCGGGTCTCCCTGGCACCCCCCAGGCTGTGGGTCTCTGGGCCCCCTCTTAGGTCTCGCCCACGGAAGGGCTTTGGCTGCCTGGTAGTGGTAGCTGCTTGTCGTCCCCCCTCCCCCCCAGGCCGTGAACGAGCGGCTGGGGCACGGGGCAGGACCTGCCAGGAACGAGGAGGACGGTGTATCTAGAAGGTGCTTCACAGACCACCCATGACGGACGGAGGGCTGGAGGCCGTGAAAGAGGGGGTTTACTTGGAACTGGGTCCCTGGGGGAGGATTTCAGGCCGCTGGTCGACGGTCCCTGGGCTGGCTCTGGGTGTCACCCTCCTGTCCTCAGTCGGGGATGGACCTGATGTGCTGCAGAGAGGAGTGTGGGGATAGAAGTTGCTTTTACTGTTTTCTGGGCAGGAAGAGTTGGAAAAGCATCTAGAAAGAGTCTTGATCTGGGATCGGAAAAAGTGGGCCCAGTGTTCCCACCCAACGTTTCTCGAAATCTTCCAGGTACGTACCTGTCCGAACCTTCCCAGCCTGCCACTTGGGGTCCCTGGCCCCTTCCTGAGTGCCCGGGCTGGTTGGGAGGGGGCCTAGAAGGATGGGGGTCTGGGGGGCGATGGGTGATGGGTGGCAGGGCACGTGTCAGCAAGGATGGGTGGCACGGTGGAGGGTGGGGCTCCGGGCATCGAAGCGTCAGTGTCTGAGGGCGACAGGCACAGGCAAGTGGGGCCCCAGTGCAGGGCTGCAGGGCGTATGTTCTGGGGAGAGGCCTCTTCCTGGAATGTCTCGGCTCACGAGCCTGCTCAGACCTCAGGTAGGACCTGCACTGGGACCGGTGTCTGGGGACGCCTCAGGGAGAGGGTCGAGCAGCCCACTGGGGTGAAGGATGTTTGGCCCAGGAGGAGGAGAGACCACCAGTGCGTGTGGTGGTGGTGGCGGGGGGCGGGGGCTTTTTTTTCTAGAGGATTTGGTGCTCTTGACTGCTCAGGGTTGGAGGGAGAAAAGGAGGTGATGTTAAGCGTCCTCGTGCCTTCACACCAAGCAGCACTGTTCAGTGTCAGGTGGGGAGTTGGCAGCTTCAGGTGGGGCTGGGGCAGCCTCCGGGCTAAACGGGAGAAGCCTAGCCATGCGTGGATAGGAGGATGTTGTGCGGGCTGGCTCATGGCAGGACACGGTGGAGGGTTCAAGGGAGAGAGGGCTGGCAAGATGGTGGGGGTTTGGGAGGGGTAGTGAGGGCCTGGTGGGAGGCGTCTGCTCTGCGCATCTGCAGAGTGATACAGGTGTGGTGGCCTGTGCACACCAGCCTTTCCTGCAAGGACAGCTGTGTCAGGCACAAAGTTGGGGGGGGGACACATTCTCCTAGGGTCCACTGGCTCTGTGACTCCTGGGTCCCCCTGAGAGCCCACTTGCTTTGACTGACAGCTGCTGGAAGAAAGCATGAATGCAGTACAACCCATGGGACTACCTATCACCAGCCAGGTGCAAGCGATGGTTCTGGAAACATTTTCAGAGTTTCTGAAAAGGTAAGTGAAAAGGTGGTCCTTGCCCACAGAAGGAGGCATGGGTGGCTGGGTCCACCGAACCCCAGTTAGAGTGCTGACCAAGCCTCCAGCCGCTGGCTACCAGGTGCTTGGCCAGTTCCCGAAGCAGGGGAAGGTTCTAGCATTGGCTTTGGGTGCTCCCAGTCTGGCTCTGGAAATGCCCCATGGCAGCATCATCTGACATGGTGCTCTGGCCTCGTGTGGCTATCGAGCTGGTTCCACGGAGGGACCAGCTAAATTTTATTTACTTTTAATTTATTTAATTATTAAGTAATTTTATTTTACTTTTAATTAATTGACCTTTAAACACCACGTGGGGCTGTGGCTCCCAGCAGGACTGGGATTAGGGGGAAGCCCAGGAAGGGAGTCATGAACGTACCGGGTCGAATTCTGTCTTTATTTAAAATTTGGTGTTTTGCTCATGATGGATGTTTTGGACTGATTTTGATTTTTTTTTTTTATTAAAGATTTTATTTATTTATTTGAGAGAGAGAGAATGATAGAGAGAGAGCATGAGAGGGAGGAGGGTCAGAGGGAGAAGCAGACTCCCCGCCGAGCAGGGAGCCCGATGCGGGACTCGATCCTGGGACTCCAGGATCATGACCTGAGCCGAAGGCAGTCGCTTAACCAACTGAGCCACCCAGGCGCCCTGATTTTGATTTTTAAAAATATTTCATCAAAATGTTATCTCGGTTACCGATCCTGGCCAGGGACCTGGTGGATTACCCGCCTCCCGGGTTCCTCTGCTTTTCCCATCAGACCCCTGAGCCACACACCCAGCTCTGCCCCGGCCTCAGGGTTTGGGTGGGGACCCTGCCTCTTTCCTGCTGGGCTGGGGCTGGAGTCACTATTGTGGGCTGCTCCTGTTTCAGATGAAGCACTGTGTAGACCCCATCACGAGCTCCTCTCTCTGGGGCCTTCAGAGTAGCTGTGTTCACCTGGGACGGGCTCCATTACTGGCAGACATGAAGTAGGTTACTTAAGAGAAACCAGACATGGGGATTTTTCGGTGAAATTATCCAGGTTTTAAATGTTTAAGAAGATATGGCTGGGTGGCCAGATTGATCCATGTTCTTGGGACAGGTGTGGGCCCCTCTTTTTTCCTGCCTTTGGAGAGCAGTGTGCTGTCCCCGACCCTTTCCCTGCTCTGGGGCAGCTTCAGTGACCCAGCCCAGGTGTGGGGTGCCAGCCTCCCCTTCCCGAGAGCTCAGCACCCCCAGGCCTCACCCGGACTCTCTGGGTGGGGGGCCAGCCCGGCTCTGGGAGCACTGCCTCCCCTCCCTCCTCTTCCTTCACTGCGCGGGACGGGCAGGCAGGCCTCTCAAATGCAGCATTCTCTGCAGTTCCCAAGTCCACAGGAAAACCACTCCTATCCTGTTCTGGAAGCATCTATCACAAATGGTCACCGAGAGCATTAAATGAAAAGGTCCTTAGGAAGCATCTGGGGGCAGGGCCTGGCACAGAGCCAGCCCAAGGCACTAAGCCAGCCCTCGCTGCCTTGCTGACCCCTCGGTTGCTGTCACCCACATCTGTGATTCTGCGAAGGAAGCAGCAGTGAAGTGGGGAGGGAGCAAGTCCCCGGGGCCTGGCTGGGTGGGGCCGGCCTGGGGGGCTGGGCTGGTGGGAGGGGCTCATCTCCATTTTCCACTGCAGGTACCAGGCGGAGGCTGTCCACTTCCTGCAGCAGAACGCCGCCGCCGGGGCCTTCCCCGAGGTGCACGTGCTGGCAAACTGCTGCATCCTCAGGTGCCGGGCGTGGGCGGGGCCAGAGGGTGTGTCGGGGTGCGGCCCGGGCGTGGGCGGGCCAGAGGGTGTGTCGGGGTGCGGCCGGGGCGTGGGCGGGGCCAGAGGGTGTGTCGGGGTGCGGCCGGGGCGTGGGCGGGGCCAGAGGGTGTGTCGGGGTGCGGCCGGGGCGTGGGCGGGCCAGAGGGTGTGTCGGGGTGCGGCCGGGGCGTGGGCGGGGCCAGCGGGTGTGTCGGGGTGCGGCCCGGGCGTGGGCGGGCCAGAGGGTGTGTCGGGGCGCGGCCGGGGCGTGGGCGGGCCAGAGGGTGTGTCGGGGTGCGGCCGGGGCGTGGGCGGGGCCAGAGGGTGTGTCGGGGTGCGGCCGGGCGTGGGCGGGGCCAGCGGGTGTGTCGGGGCGCGGCCCGGGCGTGGGCGGGCCAGCGGGTGTGTCGGGGTGCGGCCGGGGCGTGGGCGGGGCCAGAGGGTGTGTCGGGGTGCGGCCGGGTGTGGGCGGGGCCAGAGGGTGTGTCGGGGTGCGGCCGGGGCGTGGGCGGGCCAGAGGGTGTGTCGGGGTGCGGCCGGGCGTGGGCGGGGCCAGCGGGTGTGTCGGGGCGCGGCCCGGGCGTGGGCGGGGCCAGCGGGTGTGTCGGGGCGCGGCCCGGGCGTGGGCGGGCCAGCGGGTGTGTCGGGGCGCGGCCGGGGCGTGGGCGGGGCCAGAGGGTGTGTCGGGGTGCGGCCGGGCGTGGGCGGGGCCAGAGGGTGTGTCGGGGCGCGGCCGGGGCCAGTGGGAGCAGGCAGGCTAGGCGGCAGGTCCATGCGGACCACCTGTGAGAAAAGCGGGGCTAACAGCCCCGTGTGTGTACCGAATGGCACCATTTCATAGGGAAACAACGGGCGCCAATAGCCCTGGCTGCCTCTGGGAGAGGACTTTTCCACTGTACCTTTTGCGTTTTAAGCCACGTGAATACAAGAGTCTGTAAGTACAGTCAGAAAAAACAGTGGATGACGTAGACTGCAACAGCCTCAGAAATGAGGGAGCGTCCAAGGGTGCACAGAGGGGCCCCGGTGTGGCTGGTGTGCAGCCTGGGGCTGTGGCAGGCTCTGGGCCAGGCCCCATGGACCCCTTTGGTTGCCCCACCAGGGAAACGTGGCGGGAGCTGAGCCAGGAACACGTTCAGCTGGCAGCCAAGGGCCCTGCTGTGCAAGGCACCATCCATGTCATTGAGGACCACGGCCGGGACCACCTCCTGCCTAGAGTCAGAACCTTGTGCCAGGTGACCCCCGCCCCAGCCCTGGTGTGGGGTCTTTTCTGCTCCCAGAGAACTTAGGCAGGAGGCGCCTGCCTGTGTCTCCCTGGACTTGTGCCCAGCCCAGCAGAGCCTTTGCTGGGGTGACAGGGCAAGGTACCGACGAGGTGCTGATCAGTTCCTGGTCAGGTCGCCTGGTCAGGCCTCCTGCCTTCCGCATGCCTTTGTCTGGAGCAGAAGGGCAGGGCCGGCTCCCCCTACCCCCCTGGCCTGAGGGGAGGGGTCCTGTCCCTGTGGGTGGGCTGGGCTGGGCTTGGCCTCTCTCCCCTTTCTGAGGTCTGGCTCCCTCCTCACTGAGGGCATCTCCCTTTGTCCCCTCTTCCTTTCTGCCAGCTGAGGCCTGACAACTCCCCCTCCCCCTGACCCTGGCTCTGACCCCAGTGCATCCCCAGGCAGGTGAAGTCCCATCACTGCGTCCCAGAGCCTCTGTACCTGCCCATCTTTGTCTCCCCTGAACTGTGGCTGCCACACACATCAGAGGATGAGGTCCCTGAGGATACCCAGGGGCTGGCCCCAGAGCTGAAGTCTTGAGAGGGCAAGGTGGCCTCATAGGATGTGGAAACCACAGGAAAGCATTTCCTGTTCAAATCTGGGGTTCAGGGCCTTGTCCTCATGGGGCTTCCTGGGTGGAAGATGGGAGGTGGTGGTGGGCGGGTCTCCATTCCTGTAGTTCTATCCAGTGATTCATTTTCCACTGTGGGCCCCGGCTTCTGAGACATCTGCCATTGGATTTTCCACAGAGATCTGAGTGTCTGGGAAGACCCAGAGAGGTCATGCCCTCCCAGGATGGCCTACATACTGCCTTGCCTCACCCTGGGCCGTGGCAGACATTACTAATCAATTCCAGCATTCTGTTCTGGTTCATATGGAGCTGCAGGGTCCTTCTCTACACAGAGCTCCAGGCAGCCACAGCTCATGGCTTGGACTTGGCACCATGTTTTACAGATGTTGCTGATGAGGCTGCATCATGCAGATGGGGCACTGGGGGGCTGCGGTATAGTGGGCATGGGACTTGCTCGGGTCCCCTGGTTAAACACCGAGGGGGCTGGCGTTGCCCCCTCTGCCTGTGCCCTCTGGTGTCCACTGAGAACTGAGCAGGCCCTTGTCCCATGTCTCAGGAGTCTGATCTGGAGGGAGAAAGCTTTCTATGGTCCGGTGGGGACCAAAGGGAAAGGGGAGATACCCAGGAGGACTTGGGAGGGCTCCAGGGAGGAGCTCAAGTCAAGGGCTGCAGTTTGAATCTGGGGTGCTCCCAGGAGTCAGCAGGAGGAGGGTGGATGGACCTTTGGGACAGACAGGGGATGACCTCTGGCTCCCTCAGTGTGGGCCCTTCTGGTCCAGGACTGTGCGCCCAGTGGGGAGAGACAGGGGCCACAAGGCTGGAGCAGGCTAGGCAAGGGTGGAAGAGAGCACAGCCAGCCAGGCGCTTCGGGCCTCCATGACGTCTGACCCTCTGGTCCTCAGAGTCAGCTGAGGGGCCACTTTGGGAAGAAGGACAAGGATCTGGTTCGAGCTCTGCAGTGCCTGTGGCAAGGCCTGGAGGGCTGCCCCAACATGCACTCCACTCCTGTGTACAAGGTAGGAGGCTGACTCGGGGGCGACTGACCTGCCGAGAAGCTGAGGCAGGCACCCCTGCAACCCCGGGGGTCAGGGGTTCCATCTGCCTGGTGGTGGGGACAGGCCCCTGCCAGGCCTGTGTGAGAGGAGTCTGTGTAGCAGCCCGCCACCCCCATCCCCGAGGGCCAGCCAGACCGGGTCCTGGGACAGCTTTCACTCAGGCCTCTCCATCTCTTTGTCTTTTGGGGGAACAGAGAATCATGCGAAGTTTGCACATGGTGGTCTTTGGGGAGTACATCCAGGCCCTGGCCACCCACCTCAGGACGCTGGAGCCCAGGAAGTGGGAGGGCCTCAGGGTTCAGGTGGAGACAGACACCAGGAAGTTGTACAACATCTTCATGAAGCACGGGGTGAGCCATGGGCCCCTCGGGTAGGCCAGGTGCTGGGGGCTTAGTTCTCGCTTTCTAGTACTTGTCTCTCCTGGTTCCCTGCCTGGATTGGGTGTGCTCTCCTCACCCAAACCACACTCAGGCCTGCCAGCACTGGGCCTTGAATCCCACACACAAGGCTGGGGCCACCTGCTTTCACAGCAAAGGCTGTGAGGTAGGGCTGGGGATGTCACAGCTGGGGGGGAGGCAGCCCCCCCCGCCCCAGGGCCAGGACAGCCTGTGGGGAGCTCAGGAGGTAGCATCAGCGGGACCAGAGAGCACCGACCAGCAGTGTCGGCCCAGAGGTCTGAGGGGTAGATCCGGGGTGTGGGCCTGCAGGTGGGTGAGGCAAATAGGTCCTCCTGAGAGAGGAGGCTGGGAACACAGGGCCTGAGCTCACCCACCAGCTGCTGTCTGCAGGACCTCGGCTTGGCCAACCTACAGGAGCCCATCATGGGGATCTTCGAGTCCAGCGAGAACAAGAGCAGGGAGACTGTGGATGACTGGCTGGCCTCCTTCAGGGACAGATTCCCAGGTTATTTGAGGTATGAGGGAGAATAAGGGGCAGTGGTTGGGTAGAGAGGGGGAGGGGGAGCCTGCGGAGATGGGGTACTGCCAGGGGCCCAGGTGGGGGCAAGACCACACCAAAGGCACAGGGCCCCAGGTATGGAGGTTCAATCGCTGGCAGGCACTGGGAACCCTAGGCTGGAGTCTCACAGCTCAGTGACCCCCATTCCCAGATAGGGAAACTGAGGCCAGAGAGCAAGGGTCTTGGCAAGAACTTGCCCAGAGTCCCCAGCAAAACACTGTAGGCAGTGCAGGACCATCACCACCTGGGGTCTTAGGGGAGGCTGGTCTCCCTGCCCCCTGCTCCCGAGCTTCACTGGGCAGGACCCTCAGAGTGCTCCTGTCCTGACCTGTTCCCAGAATTCCCAGGGCTCCCTGGTAGGCTGCCTAGGGGTCCCCAGAGGGAAGGGTGGGTGGGGACTTGGGGAATCTGCTAGTGTCCCAGTTGCCCTGGAAACCACTGCTCTAGACTTCATTCGCACACACTCATGGGTGCACAGAGCTCTCTCCCCGCTCCCCAGCATGCAGGACCAGCCATGCTGCTCTGTGGACTTGGAGGAGGAGATTGGGGTCAAGGGAAGCTCCTGCCGCTGCTGCTGCTGATACCCCCAGCTCTGGACAAGGTGGCCAAGGGTTCAAGGCTCCGGATCACTCCTCCAGGGGAGGTGATAGGGGAGGGTCCAGTCCTGGGCAGGGTGGGAACCCGGTCAAGGGGCACAGCCAGAGCGTGCTCCAGTTGCTCTCAGTTGACACGGTATCACCTTGTGCTCTAGGCCAGCAGTTCTCAAACGTTTTGGTCTCAGGACCCCCCTACCCCGAATAGTTACTGAAACTAAAGAACTGTAGCTTATGTATTATATCTAAGAGTTACCACATTAGAAATTAAAACCAGAAAATATTTAATAATTCATTTACAGTATTTGTTAAAAATAGTAGTAATTCATTAAAATAGAAAATTGGTATTTATTAAGTAACTATAAACAAAGTAAATGATAATGTATATTATATGCGAATAGATTTGGAAATAAATTAGTATTTATATAGAAATAATACTAATTTAGAAATATTAATTTATTTAAAAATAATAATAAACCCACAACATGTTAACATTATGGCAAATGATGATTTTTAAGTGAAAAAAATGAAGTATTTGCTGAAATAATAACAACAAACTTAACAATATGGGTGTCACTGTTTTACGTTTTTGCAAATACCTTTATCTGGCTTACCAGGAGACAGGTAGATCTTCGTGTCTGCTGCTGTGTTCAGTGTATTGTGACATGCTCTGGCTGAAGTATGCAAGGAAGGTCCAGCCTCTCGTGGACTAGTTACTGTTGGGGAAAAGGAGGGTATTGTAATGCCTCTTTTAGGTACTTGTTATTCTTCTTTGATACCAGACCCAAACTGGACAGGTGGTAGTTTATTAAAGATTAGGACACGAATTCTGAAACCAACTTGATGAATTATATGAAATTTGCATGCTCTGTTGTAGTAAAATCTGTTGGCCTGTCTTGCACTTTTAACGGCTCTTCTACCCATATGTGAATTTGTGGCATCGAGTGTTCGTCACCTGGCAAATACCAGTTCAGAGTGATGCGGATCCAGGTGTTGGCACGTTTTAGCACACCTCATCCAAAAAGCACCGTTGTCTACACTGCCATCAGCTTCATCAGGAGAGTCTGTAGCTGTTGGGAATCCCAGGCTCACAGTGGAAGACACAGGTTTTCCAGAATCCTGATTTTTTGCTTGAAGGCTCAAATTTTTATCATTGACAACAAATACTGTCCGTTGTTTACTTTGAAGCCCCAGCTCACATCATCCATTCTCAAGAAAATGCCGTCAACAACTAAATAGTCTGTCCGTTGGTCATTCTTTCAAGTAAAAGTGGTACATCCAGGGACGCCTGGGTGGCTCAGTCGGTGAAGCGTCTGCCTTCAGCTCAGGTCATGTCCTGGGGTCCTGGGATTGAGCCCCATGTCAGGCTCTGTCCTCAGCGGGGAGTCTGCTTCTCCCTCTGCCCCTCCCCCTGCTCATGCTTTTTTTCTCTCTCTCTCAAATAAAATCTTTAAAAAAAAAAAAAAGCGGTATTCCATAGAAAAAGTGGCTAGTTCAGCTTGTAACTCAAACAGTCGGTTGTGCAAGTGTTTTTGCTCTGGGCAGCCACTGTCTTTCATGGGGCAGTAGAAGGGCTAGCTATGAACCGTGCATTTCTTCATGTAGGATATTGAACATTTGTGTATTCAGGGTTACGATTTAATAAAAGTAACTATTTGTACTCTTTTATCAACACATTTTAAAGTGAAACTGGGTTTTTTTTTTCCTGCGAGTGCATGATGGTAAGGGGTACTAGCAGAATTCGTTGTCGCTGCCTTGGCGCTAGTCAAGGTTCCAGCAGCTTTATCCATCTTGGCTTTTGGGCCATGGGTGCAAATGTCCACCCCCCAAAAAGGGCAAACAGTGTTTTAGTATAATGAAAGACCTCATTTTGACCTCACAGTTCCCCTGAAGGATCTCTGGGCCCTAGGATTCCATAGAACATATTTTGAGAATCACTGGTCTAGCTACACTGGGCTCTTCCTCTGCCCATGTGCCTGCTGGAGGTTGACTTATCTGAAATTATTGATATTTGAGCATTTTCCCCCCAATAAAAATGACGAATTCATATGGTTCAAACAGACTGTCTCCACATCTTTGCATGTTCTGTTCTGCCTCCCTGGAGGGCCCTTTCCATCTGTTGAAATTCTCCTCCTTCAAGGTCTGGCTCCTAGACCCCCAAGTCTGTTGCTCACTTTCTCCCCTGAAATGCACATCACAGTCTCCCTTCGGCCAAGAGCTGTCTTGTCTGCTCATTGGCAAGTGTCTTGATGGCAGAAGACCAGCCATGTTTGTCTTTGTCCCCACGGGGTCTGGCAGGGCCCTGGCTGCCCTGCTTGGAGGTGGAGGTGAGCTCTGGCTTCAGGCAGCCCTGGGCTGTGGAAGTTTTATGGCTCCAATACCCACCGAGGCAGAGGATCTGGGTGCTCACTTCCTGGGTGCCTGATTCCCAGGAGGAAGCCAATCCTTGTCAAGTCTGGACTCTTCTATCACAAGGAGTCCCTGGGGCATTTACCCCGGAAGCCAGCCACCAAGCAGTAAGGCGGGCCCGGCCTTGTGGGAGGCCACGTGCCGCTGTTCCAGCCAGCAACCCCACTCCTTGGCCCGAGCCCCGAACCTCAGGATTCCTGCCGCCCAGCCATTGGCAGATGCAGCGTCAGAATTAAAGGCTGACCTGGCCTGTGGGTGTCTGACCGCTGGAGACCCGCCTGGTGGGGAAGCCCGCACGGTTGGCATCAGGAATGCTGTGAACCAAGGGACAGTCTTCCCAGAGTCACCTCGGTCACCCACACCTCCCCGGGGGAACGGATGCTTGCTACCACCTCCGGGCCTCATGAATTTGCTGCAATGAACAGGTCTCCGCTTCATTTGAGTCAGAAGCTGTCAAGTCGTTTCTTCTTTTCCTTCCTTTTGTCCTCCTCGACGTCATTCTCCTTTCTGAGAGATAAAAGAGTAGCTCCTGTACATCTGTGTTTGAGATGGGCTGCGCCCCGGACCTTGTTGAAGAGTGTAAACGCCGTTGTAGGGCCTCCCCTGGGCTCAGATATATAGTACCTCTGTAGAGCAGAACAGAAAAGGGCAGTTGGCGCATTTCCTTTGTCCCTGGAGATGTTGAAGAGTTTTCGAATCTAAATTTCCAGGCAGAAGAGTCTTTTTGTGTTCAGATTTTGTTTTTAAGACCTGGTTTTACTGCAGGGTATCATGCAATGCTGCCTGTGTGATCTCTGAGTCTTGGGACTGGTTCAGCCCGTGGCCCTGATCACCCCCGGCTGGCCCCTGCACGCCTTGGCCACAGGCCACAGCCTGGTCCCTCCTTAGGGCCGACACACTTTTTGGCCTGGAGTCCAAAGGGAGGGCCTCATGTTCCTCATGTTTGAAGAAGTGGCTTGTTCGCTCCCTCCTTCTCTCTATCCCCTGGCCGTCCCTCCCACGTGCCGCTCCCTGCTGGAGAAGAACAAGGGCCAGGCCGCCTCCTTCCTGAGCTGCCATCCTGGTGGGTCTCTCCTCTTCCCCTCTCACACCCCGACGACGAGCCGGCAGTGCGGGACCATGGCTGGAAGGGGTCAGGGAGCTTGGCCGAGGCCTGTGTGCCGCAGAGTCCCAGGGACAGGCAAGGGACCAGCCACATCTTCAGCCCTGGGGACATAGGGCTGGACCATGGGGAGAGGGCCCTGGGCACGGGGCCGGGTGGGGAGGGTCACTGAACGTGGATTTTCCATACCAATCACGTTATATAAACAAGCAATCCAAAAACAAAACAAAAGAAAAAACTCAAGCTGTACATTTTATTTAAAGCCATCCCGGACAGATGCTGGACAGTTGCAAATACTGATCCTCTCCTGAGGAAAGTGCTTTCATTCTGGGTGTCAAATCACTCCTACAAATAGTTTCTGGAGGACGATGAGCTCCATACAAAAATAAACAAGCACACAAGGACAGAGGAACCATGAGCGAGACCCAGTAGGACCAGCAGACAGGCCCGCGAAGACCGGTTCCCAGTCACACTGTGTATCAGACACGGATTGCAGAGCGTGTATAAATTGTGCCCAAAGAAATAAAACACAAGCTTGAAAATACCTGCACGGGATTAGTGAGGGTCCTTTGGGACCTCTTGGGGAACAGAGTCACCAGATGGTGGGTTCCCCAGTGTCACGAAAAAACCTCATTCTAACACTTTCCTTTCCCTGAGCCTCCTGTATGATGCCAAGGCAGTTCCTGCCTCTCTGCGTCATTCACGGCAGGCCACTGATGTGGCCAAGCTTCCAGAAACGCATTAAGACCAGTCTCTGGTGTCCTTGCCAGGACTCTGGTCTCACGGCGTCCATCACAAGAGGATGCTCCTATGTCAAGGAATACCCCTTACCCTCTGGACACTCCGCCCCAGCCCGCGGCCCTGCCCCTGGGTCCCTTCCCAGCTGGCTTTCCCCAGTCCCTGTGGGCGGGCACATATTTCCCGGACATGGCAACTCCTCCCTCGTATAAGCTAGTCCCCTCGGAGTAGAGACTGTACGTCCCCGCTTGGGTGTGCCTGGTCCTGACCCTGGTTGTTGGTCTGAAGGCATAAGGGTTGGTGAGGTGGGGGGCAGACCCCCCAGATGAGGGGAGGCTGCTCTCACTCCCGAGGCCACCGTCAATAAGTAGGCAAGGAGAGTCAGCTGGTGAGCAGCCTAGTTTCCCTGGAACATTCTACATGTGAATTCCGAGGGCTCCCAATGGGATGAGCCCTAGTTGCCAATGTGGGCACCCACTCAGCGGTGTACTTTGAATGGGTGCTGGACGTCAGGCTAGGATCTGATCCTACAGGTGGCAGAGCTGAAAATGTGACAGGTCTCTTACATCAAAGATGGAGCTCTGACAGGAACAGAGCGACTTTCAGAAACGGGTGGGGATATTTGGAGGGATGAGCCTGAGAATCTTCAAGGCCACATTCCTGTGAGCCCTTTGAGCCTGCAGGAGCAAGGCTCCCCCTTCCCGGAGAGTTTGCAGAGCCTTCCCCCGAGGCAGGTGCTGCTCTCTCCCCACGATGCTGCTGGTCTCTCTCTCAGGTCTGTCCCTGCCAGGGCTCATTGCGTCCCAGCTGATCAACAGGGCGGGCATTGATGATAGCCCAACAGGGAAATAGTCTCTGCTCTGGGGGTAGGGGGTGGGGGTTGCTTATTCACCAAAAGGCTGAGGCACCTGGCTGAAATCTGCTGCCCCGCTGAGAAGGGGCCAGTGGGTGCCGCCTGAAACCGGCAGGGGAGGGTGTGGAGGGGACGGTGATATGATGGAGAGACATGAGTGAGTGGGGATTGGTCTAGTTCTCTCTGTGGCTCAGTTTTGCTTTATGTATTTTGAAGATCTTATAGATGCATAAACATTCAGGTTTGTCATGTTCTCTTGATGAATAGACCCCTTTCCTCTTTTTTATCTGTGATAATAATTGTTTCTCTGGGGTGCCCGGGTGGTGCCATGGGTTAAATGTCCGACTCTTGGTTTCAGCTCGGGTCAAGGTCCCAGAGTCATGAGATCGAGCCCTGCGTGGTGCTGGGCTCAGTGCTCACTGGGGAGACTGCTTGGAATTCTTTCCCCGCTTCTCCTCCCCACCCCACCCTTGTGCCCCCTCTCTCTAAAATAAATAAATAAAATCTTTAAAAAAATGATCCTTTCTCTGAAATCTATTTTATCTGATGTTATTAGAGCCACATAACTTTTCTTCGATTTGGCATTTTTTCCATCCTCTTGTATTTAAGCTACTTTGTCCTCATATTTAAAGTGAGTTTCTTATAAGGAGCATATAGCAGGATCTACTTTTTTTTTTAACCAAATCTAATAATTTTGCCATTTCATAGGGGAGTTTAGAACATTTGCACTTATGTGGTTCTGTCTTTTTCTCCTCTTTCATCTGCATCGTTTATTGTTCTGTTTTAACCGATTGCTTGTTCTTATCATTATAGGTTCTGTTTTCCTATTTGTTGATTGTCTGATACTGGGAAATCAGATGATATAAGTTTACCTTTTTGGTCCTGGATACTTTTATATTCTGTAAGTATTCTTGATCTTTGTTCTGGGATGCAGTTAAGTTACTTGGTGGGATCCAACAGGATTTGGTCTAGGGTTAGTTTTCCCCACCCTGTCCAAGTACTCCTAGGACAGGACACAGAAGGCAAGCACATGCGTACCGAGCCAGGGCCAAGAGCGGCCCCAGCAAAACCCGCCGAGGAGCTCACGCTGGACAACTGAAGAGCCGACCCCAGGGCGGTGGACAGAAGTCGGCCCCACTCATATACGGAACACGAGTCAGCAAACAGATGGAATGAACTGCGCCCACCCGGCTGCCGGGGAGAATCGCACCTGCACGTTCTGAGAGAACCCAACACAGGGTCATGTCGGCGTCCCTGTGGATGAAGGCCGGGGACAGGGGAGACTAGTTCTGCTGTGAGAATCAACCATGGTGCTTCCCTGTGGGGGTGACGGGGAGGGGAGCCGACGGGGGCATCTGGGGACTGACATGGGGTGTTCACGCTGATGATGGGGGCTCCTGGGGGACAGACACGGGCGTGTTCATGCTGATGACGGGGGTTTCTGGGGGACCGACACGGGATGTTTACACTGATGATGGGGGTTTCTGGGGGAATGACACATGGTGTCCATGCTGATGACAGGGGCTCTTGGGGGACTGACACGGGGTGTTCACGCTGAAGAGGGGGCTCCTGGG